ATTGTGGGGTTTTTTTTTTTATTATGCCTTTAACATGTTTTATAACAAATAACGTTTTTTCAAAATATTTTTCCATGTGGTAGTTGTCTGCCATTGACTCTTGACTCTCTCTCCCTCCCCTCTACTATTCCATTGGGAGATGTTGTCCCCTGTCACTTGCCATTCTGGGACACTGACAGCGTTACCTACTGCATTGCTGTCCCGTTCGGTTTTCTGCCCCTCCGATTGGCCAGTGGGTTAGTGACACCCAGAAGGTGGAGCCTACCGCAGACCAGTCTCGATCGTTTTTTTAATAGCCCAGCTTAAGTGTCACTCCCCACCTACACCCAGTCAGTGTTCAATTAGCCGATCGATGCCCCACCTGATTTGGATCATATCCACCCTCTAAATAAACCACGGGGATGGGGAACAAGTCATGTTCTGATGAAGGGGGCGTGCCCCGGAAACGCGTCAACGCTGACATCTCACACATCGGCCACGCCATACGAATATCCACTTGCCTTGCTTGCCTGGCTTTGGCTTATTGTCCTACAGCTTACTTATACTGCACTCTTGTGACTACACTCCTGTTTCTTATTACCTGTTATAGAATAAAACACATCTGCACCAGGAAAGGCGCCCCCCTCTTTGTGCTTTTTTCTAGATGTTCCAGTCACCCTGACTGTAGTGGGGCTGTGTCCTGCATGTATGCACACCACTACACCCCTCTGAGGATTGATTGTCTCTGGCGCTTTTATGTCATACTTCTACACATTGCAGCTATATTGCACACCTCCAGGGTACTTCTTAGGCACAATAACACTTCCACATTCCCATATAACATAGCAAACTCTCACTTTTAAAATTCCACCGCCATCACTAACTTGGTCTAAACACTGTACTGTACCACTATGAACTGCATGCCTTGTTCACGGTTACAGGCTTCACCAAGGAGTATCTAAAAGCAGGCCATACACTGTCCAAATTTCAAAATTCGAGCAGTATGTGGCCCCCTTGAGCCCCACATTTGACAAAGGATGATTTTTTAAATTGACTTTTTTTGAAGGAGCTTTCCTCACCTTGCAGCTACATTTAACAAAGGGGTGGAGATTGCTCAGGCCACAACTGCTTGGGCCTGCTTAGTGAAAGTTCTGCACAAGCTTGGGCAAACTCAGTATGGACCATGCCAGGGATGTGGAATTTGTATCACCTGACGCCCAGAACATGCAGTTCCGGGCGGGTCGTTTTTTTTCTACATTTAGCCCAGCTGCGGACTAGCAGAGCTAAATGTAGATCGGAGGAGCCGATCACTTGTTTCAAACGAGCATCAATTTTGTGCCCCCCCCGCAGTTTTCAGGGATCCCCGCTATTCTAGGAGACTCAGGACCATAGCAATTGAGCTCAGGATGGAGATGTTCTCCGCTCTGCTCTCTGTGATCAGTGAGACTGGAGCACTGTAATCACAGCGCCACCTGTTCCAGCTGTCAGAAACTGCACAGAAGTTCTGCTCTGTGTTACAGGGCAGGTTCAATGAAGAGAACCTGTCCACTCCAAACCATCACATAGGAGCTTGTGTGATAGGAATAAAATAAAGTGGGGAAAAAAGTGGAACAAGTAAAAAAAAAAAAAAAGAAAAGAGTGGAAAAAAAAGTTATATATATATATACAAAATAAAATTTAAAAAGACCAATGAGAAGCGCTATTTAGCACGGTCACATATGGTTTTGATTACATCTATTTTTTTGTATCGGAAAAAGTAGATGGTCATAAGGGAAAAGTAGATTGGGCCCGCTTTAGCCCTTGGGCAAGTAGTTTTTTTTTTAATCTTCCACACCCCTGAATGCACACCAGTAAAATGTAGCAGACTCATGTACGGCGTCTCCAGTTTATGGGCTTGTCACACCATGTCCAGACCAGAAGTTTGTTTCCAGACCAAAAAAGCATCCCAATGTATCCCTATGGTATTTCTGGGCTCTGTTCCCACCAGCGGAGTCTGCTTGTCTCATTTTCACTGGTCTGGAATGTACTGGAGTTCGGCTGCAGCTAACGATTATTTTCATAATCGATTAGTTAGCCGATTATTAAGTTCGATTAATCGACTAATCGGATTAAAAAAAAAAAAAAAATGTAATACAACCAGTAACAGGATAAGGCAATCTGACACGCAGCAGCAAGCTATTGCATGCAGGAAAGCCTGCAATGTCAGAATGTCTCAGATAATATACTTAGATTGAATGCAATCAACATTAATATCTTTACTTAAAAGTATCTATCCCCCGCTAAACTACTGGCCAGTAGTATTGTCCTAGGCTAGCCAACGTTGGGGCCCTTGCTGTATAGCAGATGTGAACAATAAACAGGGTGTCACTGCGGCCAAAGGCCTCTCACCACTCCTCAGATCAAATGGGAAGAGATGAAGTCTGCTGGTGGAAGCTGTCTGCTGGTGGCCTCTCTCTCTCTAGTCGACTCTGGGAGGAAGGTGAAGTAGCGTGGGCGCGGCGTGGCATTACACCAGTGTAGGCGCGAGCGGCTTAACTGACGTGGCCTAAGCGGCGGGCGTAAGCGGCGAGCGGGAAATTTGAATATTAGCCGACGAATCGACGATGGAAAACGTTGGCAACGTTTTCCATCGTCGATTTTAATCGACTTAATCGAATAATTGTTGCAGCTCTAACTGGAGTGCATATAAAATGCATACAAATGCATGCAAACGCACTGGACTGCACCTGAAAGGCCATTTTAAGCTAAAAAAGACAAAACCTGCACGTGGCAAAAATGCACTGCCACGCAAATCTGCTTCGGATCTTGTCTGGACATGGTGTGAACATAGCCTATGGCCATCTTCTGAAGTATGCCCTCAGTCTCCAACAACTCCCATAATGTGTCTGCAGCCTCTGAGCCTCTCCCGCAACGTGTCTCCAGCATCTGAGCCTCTCCCGCAACGTGTCTCCAGCATCTGAGCCTCTCCCGCAACGTGTCTCCAGCTTCTGAGCCTCTCCCGCAACGTGTCTCCAGCATCTGAGCCTCTCCCGCAACGTGTCTCCAGCATCTGAGCCTCTCCCGCAACGTGTCTCCAGCATCTGAGCCTCTCCCGCAACGTGTCTCCAGCATCTGAGCCTCTCCCGCAACGTGTCTCCAGC